TGCATACAAACGACCAAAATAGAAAGGAAAATACACAAATATTGTTCGGAAGCTACCATTGCAAGTAGAGCAAGATAAAGCTGGCGTAAACAATCCTTGCAATACAATTATACTAACCGTGCTCAAGTTAAATCGAAATATGTCTTAAGGTATCAACTTTGATACAATTCACTAAATTCTTTTTTAGCACATTGTTACGAGCGAGCGAGCGCAGCGAGCGAAGCGAGTCTTTTCAATATAACGGAAAAATCTCAGTATGAGCGGCCCGGCCTGGCCCGGCCCGGCCTGTAACGCTTTTGAGAGGCTTATATCTCAGCAACCGCTGGACCGATTGGCCTGCGGTCTTTTTTTGCTGGGTAGCCCCATCCCTTCTGCCCCGTAATTGACTACTTTTGATACATCTCAGTGACCGTCGTGGCACGTGCCACGTGAAAAGTCAAGGGTGCTCAAGCAGTTTTGCAAAAGCAATGATTTTGAGAGGCCCATATCTCAGCAGCGGCTTGAACGATTGTCTCAGGGTTGCCAGATCCAGAATGGTCCTTATCGCCAAATTCGCCCCTCGAATTTCGCCAAAATTCGCCAAATAGGATGCACTGTATAAGCATACGTAGCAGCGCAAGTTGGCGTTCGTGTAACCGTGTTCACGGTTCGTTTCCAAGTTCACGATTTACCTATCTCGTTTCTCATATTCATCTACATAACAGCGTACCTTAACCAGCGCCAAATATTGGCAGAGGTGGAGATCTCGGGGGGGGGGGGTCGGGGGGTCAGGACCCCCCCTGTAAACGAATAACTGCTATGTAAGTCAATGGTACTGCATCCAGCCCGCCTCCATCTGCCCGGCCTGGACCCCCCCCCCTGACATTTTGACAGATCTGCAGCCCTGAGCAAAGGTCGTGCGAGATGTGGTTCAGAATATTTTCATCAGGAACATTTTATATTTGAGTGCCTAATATAAAACGCTGGAAGGTTAAATTAATCAGATTACGAAATATTTCGTAACGATGTTTTTTGCTTTGTTTTGTTTATTTTTTAAAGTAATATTCGGTGATTTGGAGGCGAACTCTGGAAATTCGCCAATATTTGACGTTTTATCGCCTATCGCCAAACGCCGTGCTTCTATCGCCAATGACTTCCAAAATTCGCCAAATTGGCGACATATCGCCAAGTCTGGCAACCCTGGATTGTCTTGCGGTAATTTTTATAGGGTAGCTGCATCCCTTCTACCAAAGGTCGGATACACTTGATCCATGTGAGTGACCCCCACTGCACGTGCAAAATACAGGGTGTCCCAGAAGTCTTGAAGCTTTTTTATTTTTGTCGTGTGACTTTGCTATGCCATCGATTAAGGCGAATCATGCCTCAAACGAAAGAGAATGAACAGAAATTTTGTATTTTCATGCGTAGAGCACCTCTTTAGTCAGGTGGCCCCCGTTGTGAGGCGCACAAGATTGAGCACGAGAGATCACGTTCTTCGCTGCCGCCAAGATCTCGCGGTTTGCGAAACACCGGTGTCGCCATGCCCGTTTCCTGTCAGCTTCAGAGTCTTATTCCCTGAAGCGAGCGACATAATATTAGCGACATGTATTTGCGACGGGTTGATAGCCCCAAAATAATGCGACGAAGCAAAGGATTACAACTTAGCGCTTGCTTAGCGCGCTCAAGCAGCTGAGCCTTATTTTCGTAATGGATGCGTGCAAACATGTCAGGAGACTTTCTGATCAGTACCTAAATCATTATGTTGCTAATGTTTTCTCGGAGATCCAATACTCTGTTTCCTGGCTCGCTTCATGAAATAAGGCTCTGAAGCTGACCAGAAACGGGCATGGCGACACCGGTGTTTCGCAAACCGGGAGATCTTGGCGGCAGCGAAGAACGTGATCTCTCGTGCTCAATCTTGTGCGACTCACAACGGGGCCACCTGACTGAAATGGTGCTCTACGCATGAAAATACAAAACTTCAGTTCATTCTCTTTCGTTTGAAGCGTCATTTGCCTTAATCAGTGGCATAGCAAGGTCACACGACAAAAATAAAAAAGCTTCAAGACTTCTGGGACACCCTGTATAAAAAGAAGAGGTGCCAAATTTGTTCCCATTTCAGTAACTCGGTAATTACTGGGGCGATTTCGCTGAAACTTGACATACAGGTAGGCACCCACCACCACCAGGCAATGAATTCACATGTGTTGCGGTTGGGGTGCTACTGCACGTGCGCACGTGCAGGGGGCGTTTCCAGATCTCGAGAACGGCTGGGCCGATTGCGCTCAAATTTGGTACACGGTTGGGGACCGGTTAGTAGGGTGCCGTGCAAGTCATTTTGGACCCCTTTGCACGTGCGCACGTGCAGAATGCCGCTTCCAGATCTCAGGAACGTCTGGGCCGATTGCGTTCAAATTTGGCACACCGCTAGCGACCGGTTAGAAGGGTGCTTTGCACAAGCCCGTTGGAAGTACCCTCTCGCCCTTCCGCACGTGCAGGGCTCACTATCTCGCTCGCTCGTTCTTCGCCCAAAAGGCGTTTTACTGGTTAAAGGGACACTCCCACCTTAACATTAGTTTTGAGTTGAGATAGCCAAATTGGTGGCCATGGCCTGCAAATACCGGTTTGGGCACTCACAACATCGAAAAATGCTTTAATTCGAAGATATGGAATTTCAAACTTGCAGTTTTTGGATTCTAAGGGGCTAATGCATTGGAATGCCCCCTTAGAATTTGTGACGTCAGCGGAGATCTACCAATTTCTAAATCTTAGACTAAAACCATCGTTAACACGTGGTGGTATACGCTGCTTTGCGCGCAACGTCTGCCGCACTTTAAGGCTGCCAAATTATTGCTTCCAAATAAAGTCGCTAGTAACAGGGGAGATCCCAAAAAGTAAACAAAAGTAAAAGCCTAATATCTTGAAAACCAGTGAATATTTTTCGGTGAAATTTGGTAGATATTCGTTTTCGCTCTTTCTGAACCAAGGGACATCACTTTCATGCCAATTCATTAACTTTTTTGAAGGTGGGAGGGTCCCTTTAAGTAACAGTGAAAGAATGAGAAAGCATGAGGCTGGCCCATCACCGGTCACCCAAATCAAAATTCAAGCTCAGCATTTTGCAAATTTGCAGACAACTGCCCAGAAAGCCCTTTCAGACTTTTCCAGGCATGATGAAGAGCGGATTTTTATGCATATGATAGTTATTGATACTTAGTCAGCACAATTCTAAAGTCTTGAAATGAAGAGAGAACACCAATGAACCCCGCGCGAAACCACAGGCCGCATTGTGTATAAATATTACGCGCAATGTATCGAAACGCGAGCGCCAGCTGCGCCGCGCTTGAGCGCAGCCATATCCTGGGATATTTTTCGGTACCTATATAGTTGTAACCTCTCAGTTCTAGCTGTTTTTCTAGATGATATAGTATGATTCTAGTATATACTAGGAAAAACTTTGGAATACCCGACTCTTAAGTGCCCTGGGCCTCGTTTCATAAAGCTCTGCCGTAACTTACGCCTTTCCGTAATCCACACCCTTTCAAACTACGGAGCGCAAATGAAGCCGTTTCACAAAGCCACAACTGGAATTGTTTACACCTCCGTAACTAAGCACATTTGCGTAGTTACCGTAATTTATCAAGCATCCTACAAATTACAATTTCATGTCAACACTTATTTTTTACGAGAAATTATAAAACAGTTATGTTGAATTTAAATCTTAAAAATTATTTATGAAAAAAAAACAAAATTGATATTGATGACCATCCTTTATTAAATCAATATATTAAAAACAGCCGAAAGCCACTTAAGCAGAAGTGCGTAACTACGAAAGTGGCGCGGCGCGGCGAATAAACAAAATTCCGATAGTGGCCACAAAAAGCGACTGGTACAGAAGATTTGCAGCTTCTTTTTCTCATTTTGGCTGTTCTTTCTTCCTCACCGGGCTCAATATTATAAAATATATTAAAAATTAGCTTCGAATCTTCACATTAATTCAAATTCACCAAACATTTTTGTGCGTAGTTTACACCACTGATATCAAGAACTTGATAAAATATTTGGCGTTAATTACGTCGTTTTATGAAACCCAAATAGCATCAATTGGTCCGGAATCGATAATTTGCCGTAAATGAAGCTCCGTAATTTCGATGGCGTGAATTACTCCCGTCTCCGGCTTTATGAAACCGAATTGGCATCAAATACGCCAAATCTGGCATAATTGACGGAACGCCGTAAGTAATTTCTTTTATGAAACGAGGCCCTGGACGGGCCGAGTGTCGTATTTCATTGTGCTGACTGTTCATGAGTTAAGCTTTGAGAGAGTGTTGAACGTGCCAGAAGCACATGAGATAAAACGCTACCGTTCTTCATCTCAGGTGAGTTTATGCAGCGTCACCAATACGGCAGTTAGCACAATTCGGGTGTCTATGGTGCAAGACATTATGCGGTAACGACATTCATAGATCATACGTGTTTCTAAAATCTCTAGAAAACGTTATCAATCAATTCATGGTTTATCATGTCCTGATCCAGTCCAGTCTGACTATCATCATTCTCGCAACTAAATAATTGGCCTAGATTATAACCGCGCGCAATATTGGTAAGTGCCTCACCTTTCCATAATAATGCTTCGCCAGCAGGGTGAATATATATATGTTACAGGGAGTATGCGATTTCAGTTTGTTTGCAACCACCCTAGGGTGGTTGTAACCTCCCTGAACGATCAGTTTGTTTGCAACGACCCTAGGGACGTTACAAAATAACTGCTCGTTCCGGGACGTTGTAACGAAACTAGGGTCGTTGCAACCTCCCTAGTTAGTATGCAACGAACCTAGGGTTGTTGCAAAATAACTAGGGAGTTTACGGAAAGCCAGTCAGATTATGTTAGTATGAGCTGTTATATTAGTGCGTGGAAGCCCCATGCCAACTTCCCACTTTGCAAAAAATTGATGGGCACTTCTTATGTATTATTGCACTGCTTGCTATGGTGACACCTACTGTTGCATTTAACATTCGACCGCACACACACTTCCCTTTACACAGCTTCGAGCACATACATTTTAAAAATCCCTGCCCTTTTCCGCCGGACTGCATCCGGGCCGCTTCCCGGACAGTGGTGTCCCGCTGGGGAACTTCATCCGACGACAGGTGCTTTTCCCGGCAGGGCTCCATTTGGTTTCTGGTGTACAGACCCAGCCGTCCATGGCGGCAGCCCAGAATGAAGCCGTCATCAGTTACCTTGAAAAAAGGCGTTGTTTCTGAGTCACCGACAGCAACATTCACCAGAACGATGTAAAGGAAAGCTGATTGAATGCTCGGAAAACATCCATCAATTGGCAAATATGCATTATTGATTGCTCCAAAGTGTATCAGGTCCCGCCTGCAAGTTGTTTCCTTGCGATCGTGCAAATCTGTTGGTGTAATTTCTGTTCAATTAACCGTTAAGGTCAGCATAACCATAGAGCACATCGATATTGTACAACAAAAGCTACAATAAATGTCTACCTCAAGAACCACGCAGATGAGGTTTCGATGCTCGATACGAGAACGGTCGACATCGGGGATGCCCACGGTCACGTTGTCGCCGACGTTGATGGCCGTGGAGCTTGAGCGCGCCCTCTTTACCATGCATTCGGCCTGCTTTCTCTGCTGCTGCTGGGCAAGTCGTCTCTCGGCGACCAACCGCGGCTCGGGTCGGGCCTCTTGGCACGGACACCGATCGCCGTCGCGAACCTGCCGGTGGCATTCCACGCAGATGACCGTTTCACTCGTTGATGGAAGGCTCAGAGCCGTGCTGAGTGCTTCTTCCGTGTGGAGCACAGACGAAACCGCTGCTGGAATAGTTGTCCTTGTGAGGCCCAACTTCGGTTCGGTACCAAACATGGCCATGTATGGTGATCGGCCGATGCCAGCATTAACCTGTCAACACAAGATATGCCCACCTGACAATGGCTTCCATTGAATGACAGAAAGCAAGACACGCTTAGAAATGAATTTGTTCCTTTTATTGCTAGCCTTCCATATTTTGGTAAATTAATATACAGAGCTTATGTGAATTATTTTCTTGAACTTCTATGTTCTTTGTAGGTATGCCAAGCATGAAGTCACAATTCAAATCTGCCAAATTTCAGCTCTCTATCTCCAGCGGTGTTCCGAGCTATCACGAAAAAAACCTATGGGAGGGGGAGGGGGCAGCACCTGCCCCCTCGACTGGCGAGGGTTAATCAGAAATTTGTCAATAATCATTAGCCTCGCGGGCCCGGGGGGGGGGGCGATTTTCGCTCCCCCCTGGCGAATATTTGCGATAGCTCCCAAACGCTTAGGGATAGGAAAACGAAACTTTCCGTACCTTTTCTCCCATCAATTTGACATCGTCTGAAGTTAAAAAATTGGACCTAGCCCCCTTGATGACGTCATAGGGTCGATGACCCCTGCACGGCAAACTTCGGCGTCACAGACGCGAAATTCAAATAGCTGCTAAAAGTAGAGTTTTAGAGATAAAAATAACGAGCACGGTTGTGTAGCGGTTGACCTAGAGAAAAATAGACAAAATAGTTTTGGTGACCTGAGGTCACCAAAACAAAACTGAGACCTGAGGTCAGGTCAACGATCCCGAGCTGTGGTTTTAGTTTTTCGCAAAAACTTCGACAAAAATGGTCTTAAAGCTACGGCAGTGGTACCAACGCATTCGCCTTGACGAGCCGCGTCGTACGATACATATTTTGCTTGGAAAGGTCAATTTTTATGTTGACCTTATGTGACCTCGAATGGACTTTGGTTGACCTTGACACGTGAAAGGTCTCTAAAGATGGATTAGTACCCGCTGATCACGAATCTGGCATTTATTTTCCTCTAAGCCTTCATTTATAGCCTCCGGATGGCAAAACTGCCTTGTTTATTATTGCTAACTTGAATCAGTGAAATAACCTTCAGCAAGAATGCTCTTATGTGACCTTGACATTTGAGCAGCCTTGTATCGTAAGATGAACCACAAATAGGGACGTGATAAGTCTCAAAACATTTCAAAATATCTTGGAAGTTAGCACGCGAGATGTACGAAAAAGTGCAATGTTCGAGGTCAACCTTGAGCATGACCTTGACCTTGATCTTTAATTTTGAGCACATTTTCGGAATCTTCAGATTCTCGCCTTTTGTTTGACACCCAATTTTGCCCTTCTTTTTAATCCTGCCGTCCTCTAGAACGCTTACTTTGAGATCACTACACATGTGCCAGTTTTTGCCTTTGACCTTGACCTCTGACCTTGAAAATTGACTTGAGGTCAAAAATTTTAGGTGCTTCAGAATCGTCTTGTAAGGACCTTTCGTTTGGTATCGCTTTTGTTTCCATAGCTCCCTTATTTACAAAGGTTTAGACAGAGGGGGGGGGGGGCGAAAAACGCCACCCCCCGTTCTGCGGTGGTTGGGATCAGAGCATTTGTTGGGATTAGGTACTCCTGGGCCCGGCCGGGTAAAAAAAAATCGGCTTGTCCTGCTTTTTTTTTAATTGCAGCGAATGAAGCAAAGATGAATAGGCATGCTTTTTCCATTCCTTAACACTTTACCTGGCTGTTGATTTGCCATTGGACGAATCGTAGACCCTCAGACCAGGTTTTTGTTCCGTTTTCTCTCATCCACGCCGACAGTTTTTCTTGTACGGTCCTATTAGCTCTTCCGACTGAGCCCTGCGAAGTGAGATAAGGCTGGAATGAATTTGCTCATACATTTCCTTTCTCAACGTTCCGGGAGCAAGGAGGATATGAAACATAGTGATGTCAATTTCATAAAATCGGAATGAGTTCTATATGTATCGGAGTGAGTTCTATATGATGGCGAGAAGATGCACAGGAAGCACAGTAAAAAAAGAAAACTACAAACCTGCGATTGCGAATGACGCGGCTTCCCGTGGACGATTTTGAGTTGCGGCCACATAGCGACACACTCCTTAATCACGCTGCTGGTAAACTCCCTTCCGTTGTCGCTCTGAGAAGTGGACGGGTCCACGACAACGTTAGTAGTTGATTATAAGAGAAAGTTTATTGCGAATGTTTAAGCGTAACAGGAATCCCTCTTTGGTCGAAGGTAAGGTACATAAATCATTACCACAGTCATTGTTGCACTAGACTAAATTTACTTTACCTACAAATCAGTCGGCGATCATATAACACAGTTTTGCATAAAAGCGTCTATCGAATGTTAAGGTGGGTCGCAGAGAGAACGGTTTATAAAGCTGTAATTGTCTGAACGTTTTTACGTGGACTTAACAGAACACTTACTCGTGATTTACTTGGCTATCCTTTTAGCATGCGAGCTAAATGGCTCTAAAGTGGAAACACTTAAACTCTTAAAATACGCACACGACATACCTGTAATATTGCCGGCGCTCCAAAGGTACAAAAAATTTCCATTAATTGGTACGCCACTTCTTCTGCTCTTTTAGATTTAAGTGCACGGAGTGTAACAAATTTTGTCAAGTGGTCTTGATACGTCATGATGTAAGCATATGGCCCATCTCTCTCACTCTCAAATGATATTAAATCAACCTGAGCTCTGGAGTTCATGTCGTCAGAAAGTATCGGCTTCGATACGACGCTTTTTCGAGGACGTTTTCTTGATTCCAGGACAAAAAGTCAAAAGACAAAATGTCAAAAGACAAAAAGTCAAATGCAAAAAGTCAAAATGGATAAAAGTCAAATGGAAAAAAGTCAAATGGATAAAAGTCAAAACGGATAAAAGTCAAAAGGAAAAAAGTCAAATGGATAAAAGTCAAAACGGATAAAAGTCAAAAGACAAAAAGTCAAATGGCAAAAAGTCAAAACGTCCAAAAGTCAAAAATGCAAAAAGTCAAATGGCAAAAAGTCAAAATGGCGAAAAGTCAAAAACGCAAAAAGTCAAAAGCAAAAAGTCAAATGGCGAAAAGTCAAAATGGCAAAAAGTGAAAAACGCAAAAAGTCAAAAGCAAAAAGTCAAATGGCAAAAAGTCAAAATGGCGAAAAGTCAAAAACGAAAAAAAGTCAAAAGCAAAAAAGTCAAATGGCAAAAAGTCAAAATGGCGAAAAGTCAAAAACGCAAAAAGTCAAAAGCAGAAAGTCAAATGGCAAAAAGTCAAAAAACGCGAAAAGTCAAAAGACAAAAAGTGAAAAAACGGCAAAAAAGTCAAAATGATAAAAATCAAATGGAAAAAGTCAAATAAGAAAAAGTCAAAAGTAAAAAGTCATATAGGTATCTAAAAAAACATAAAGCTCAGGCTACACTATCAGCGTTTTTTCGGTTTCCGCGTGATTTCGGTTTCCGCGTTTTTACGGTTTCTGCGTTTTTTCGTTCCGGGCGGCCGCCGCGTGGACGGTGTTGTTTATTAGCATAGTGATGGATAAGTGATCAAATTGATTAATTATTCATGTTAAAAATTGTCGTGTTTTAACAAAATTATAATTAAATAATTGTTTAAAGGATTTTACAACTAGCAAGAATATATTTTCGATCATAATCATTTGTCAGCTTAATTACAATTATCATATTTGAAGTAGAATGATGACTTTTGAAACACATCTTGTCTTCTTTAATCATGAGTTACACCATTTTCATTATTTACATTTGAAACTGTTCCATCGTCACAATATTAATAGCAACAATCACTTCTAATCATTCATCACTAAAACGAAATCCCGCAGAAACCGAAAAAAGTTCACATCTCTGAACTTTTTTTCGGTTCCGACTCGTCGGTTTTTCCGGGTTTTCGGTCCACGGGACGCCAGACTGGCAGTGTAGCTTGCGCAATGCATTCGCTATGAGGCGAACTTGACGAAGCGAACCGAAATCCCGCAGAAACCGAAAAAACGTCGGAATTCATGCTAGTGTAGCTTAGGCTTAAGACACCGCTCGCTCGTAATTAACCCTATGGCGTTGCATGGAAAGAAATGAGTTCAAACTGCCTCGAGCCCGGCTCCAACATTGAGAAAGTTCCAGCGCCAGTGCTCCCACATGTAATAATAACCTGTGAATCATTTTCATTTCATTACTTAATGGATTCGTTCATTAAAATATGTTCATTTCTTTTAACCAAATTTCTATAAACCCAGCGCGTTGGATGCTGGACCAGTCAGCGATGACCGTACAGAGACTAGAGAGCGTGAGTGGACGGAGGGGACCGCGTCCAGTCTATCGGGCACGTTTAAACTTTCAGATAAAACTTTGCCATAGCACTGGAATTGCACGATGGGGCAGTGGTGACCCGGGAACGTTTGAAAAGCTGATGGGGTAGGTTGAAAGTTGAGGGGACAAAAATTGCAACTCAAAATTTTGAAATTATCTCGTCTTTTGTATTTTTTACTTTAAGTCCATTGACGTCATTTAAGCGTTAATCACATGGTATTTTTTTTTATTTTGAGGTTTTGGCTTTTCACCAGGGCCTCCTCTCAGGGGCGACACTTTCCAAAAAATTTTGGTAGGGCTCTAATGTAAATTTTTGCCAATTCAAAGCGATTCTTTCCACGCAACGCCATAGGCATAATGCTAAATTTCCAAAATTATTGGTAGGGCTCGGGCCCTACCATGCCTATACAAAACGACACCCATGCGGCTCCTCTAACATGTTAACTGCGGGAGCTGCAGCCCCGCAGTCATCCTCCAAACTGGTCACTGAGGGGTACCTTAGTCATTTTTTAGTCTTAGACGTTTTTGGTAGGGGTTACCTTAGTCATTGCCCGTGATCGGGCCCCCCAGTCAAAACTGCTTAGAGGAGGCACTGCTTTTCACTCGCTCCCATGGGGGAGGGGCTGCCGCCGCCCGGTGCTCCGCGCACCACGGACGCCACGCGAGCGCTGCTGGCGCGGCGGCGCGCACTGCTCGGCCCGCGCGCCGAGTATACGGTGGTGAACCGGCAGTGTCGAGCGGCCATCAGACGTGACCACGCGGCATACTATGCTGACCAGCTGCGTGAGGCAGGACCGGCGAGGATGTGGACAGTGCTGCGGCCGGTGATCGGGGCGGGGAAGAGTGCCACTGCTGCTGCGCCAGCGTGCACGCCGGAAGCGCTCAACGCGTATTATGTGAGCGTGGGCCCCACCACCGCAGCCAGCGTCCCTGCCCCGCTGCTGCGGACCCCGGTACCTGTCAGAATCCCTCGCGTACACACATGTTCCTTACAACTTCAGTGGGTAGGGTACGTTGCGCTGTATAATATTTTTCAAAAGATGAAAAGATCGATGCTTCGACTTTTATCCTTTTGACTTTTTATTTCAGACTTTGACTTCGACTTTTCTATTTTATACTTTTTTCATTTTTTGACTTTTTGTCTTTTGACTTTTACCCGTTTTGACTTTTTGTCTTTTGACTTTTTTCCATTTGACTTTTTTGTCTTTTGACTTTTACACGTTTTGACTTTTTGTCTTTTGACTTTTTTCCGTTTTGACTTTTATCCTTTTGACTTTTTGCATTTTTGACTTTTTGTCTTTTGACTTTTTTCCGTTTTGACTTTTATCCTTTTGACTTTTTGCATTTTTGACTTTTTGTCTTTTGACTTTTACACGTTTTGACTTTTTGCTTTTGACTTTTTGCATTTTTGACTTTTTGTCATTTGACTTTTTGCGTTTTTGACTTTTGCGCATTTTGACTTTTTGCTTTTGACTTTTTGTCTTTTGACTTTTATCCGTTTTGACTTTTATCTTTTTGACTTTTATCCCGTTTGACTTTTTGCATTTGACTTTTTGTCTTTTGACTATTTTTCTTTTGACTTTATTCTTTTTGACTTTTTGTCCGGTTACCCGTTTTCTTTTCTCCTCGCATGTGCTGCAGGTCCCAAGGTACATTGCAACAACTTGCTGACTAATGTTATAAAACATTTTGGCCAGCTCCGCCTGCATCTTGTCTCGCCCGCTGTGTCCACTTTCCACATGCACCGCCTGAATCTTATCGAAAAGTTCTGAGCTTTTTACGACCTCCAACTCCGTTCCTTTTCTTAGCAGCTTCTTGACAATACCGTAGTCCGCAACAGAAAATGTTGTCAGCCATCTTCTCTGCTTTGATGTCGCTACATCTCCCTGTTGATGCGTTGTTAAAAACTGCACGATTTCATCGTGCTCGTCGTCTGTGACGATGCGGGTGTTCTTACCGCTTTGGCTTGATACCCACTCTTGAAAGCGTGCTTCAAACAGTTCTCGCGACATCGTTAGCTCACAATCAGGCCTAAACCGCCAAATACAGAACCGGGGCGAACGCACAGCGCTGCACGAAGCCTCGCCCACTGGCCGGCTGACCCGACCCATTGGCCGACCTCCAGATCGCGCCGCAGGCAACGGGCAATGCTTTTGCGATGGATCCTCAGGCCTCAGCCATGAGGATGAAAACACAAAAAAAATTATAAGAGTTACAGATATAAGACAAATTCATTCCACAAATTAAAAAAATAGCTCCGACCCCACAGAACTTTTAACATTTTTTTCTTCATAAGCGAAGCAAAATATCTGTACCTTCCTAAATAGCTTATAAATCAGATCTTACGAAAAGGCCGCGGTAGAATAGTTTCAGCTGCTAGCGTTTTGTCCGTGTCACTGGCGCCATCTAAGTGGAATACTGCGCCCTCTGCCCATGCCCCCGCGAGCTGACAAGTTAACTGTGAAACAATTATCATTGACGATTTGAGGACAAGTACGCATCGCTTAATTAAGCATGTATAACAAAAGTCAAGTACGTACGCAATTGTTGGTAAGTACAAAATACCTTGGCGATAAAGCACGTGCACTGACGGATCAAGAAAGGCGGTCTTGGACGCTGGGAGGAGGTATAGAAAATTCTCGAAATTCCAAAAACTCATCGGATCATCCTTCCGGCTCTGTAATGGTCTCGTTAGACCGAAAGAGAAAAACTCAACAAAACAAATAAACAAAGCAAAACCAAACCTTACCTAGCCCATGCGCCACTCTCTGCTTCGCTTGGGTGTGGCGTGTAAGCCTCTGTTGATGTGTTCCGTTTTTTCTTCAGTG